CCGGGGATTCTTTTGTCTTTAAAGACTCTCCCGAGAATCGTGTGCATATTCTTTTTGCGGAGTATTTATAAGCGCCGTGGTTCGTGGCGTTTGTTCTTGATTCCGAAAGGATATAGCTTGTCGTGCTCGTCCGATTCCGATTGATCCTCCAAAAATGTTATGCTCGCGGACATAATTTTGTGCACACTTAAGGAAAAACACAACAGGGATAATATTACCACGTGAATTGTAATACGAACACGACTTAATACAGAACAGTACATTACAATATTCTGTGCACGGAAAATACGATTTAGTAGCTTCGAAACAACTTCCTAATAAAACCGTTTACGTATTTCCACGACGACTCCTTGACAGCGGATGATCTTCACATATCGCCTCTCGCGTCTAACGTCAGCGGTTGACGACTAAAGTCTCGCTGAGCGATATTCAAAGTACGGCGCAACAATATTCTTCATTTTTAAATAAATTTTAGCTATCGTAAACTATGCACCGATTACTGTCAATCTTTTTAAGAATGCAATCATAAAGCTGAAACATTACTACAAATTAAATTGATCGTTGATGGATATAGCTGAAATTTAAAGATTAAAATTTATAATTTAAACATCTAGCCTCGACCGAATTTGGCTCTTTCCTCTTTATTGTTTGTTGTGCACATATATCGGCTTTGTTATTATAATAATAATTACTATAAAGTTCAATGATTATAAATTCTGGCGGATTGCTGCGCTGGCATTTTGAAGGTACTTACGTACGCCTCAGGATAATGTTACTATTGCCCGCGCAATAACTTTATAGTACGAATTATTAATTAATAAATACGTAAAGCTCGGAGGTGTTATAGCTGCAATGCTGTTAGCATTGGTAGCAATTAGGGTTCATTGCATCGAAATTTATCGCTTACAACACTGCGAAAATGTATTCTCATGTTTAATGCATAACAAATGTTCGCGGCCAATCTTTGTCTCTCTCTCTCTCTCTCTCTCTCTCACTCTCTCTGTGTGTGTGTGTGTGTGTGTGGGTGTGTGTGTGTCCCGAAGAAATGATGATTCGTCTACTCACCGATGGCACGAGTATCGATCACACAAAATGATTAAGTATAAATGTAACTGAAGATTGCAAAATCTTGTTGCAAGATCGCATTACATCTCGTGCATTGCCAAACAAAAGCATATAAATGCAATCTATAATTGAAAATAATCACATTTATTGATATGAGAAGGAAATTAAGTTAGAGAGAGAGAGAGAGAGAGAGAGAGAGAGAGAGAGAGAGAGAGAATATATAAAACGTACTATTTCTATAAACATATTTTTCTCTACGTACAATATTGTAGAAAATTTTATTTAAAACATTTGCGCTCAGGCATATACCGTTAGGAATTCTATTACTCTGTATCCTTGTTTACGCGAGCCGGAAGGAAATATTTGCAATGTGACGATAAAGCATTGCGACGTGACTACCGGTAATTAATTACCAACCAGCGACGAAAAACGATCTATCACCTGAAGTTTGTAATTACAATAAACCACGGTTATTTCGCGATTCTAAACGAATTTACGGCAATAAATTGGAGACCTTGTCTTTTACTGTAAAACTTTCTAACTGAAAATAATAAGTTTTAAAGAAAAATAAATAGTTTTTATATCTTTCAACTTTCAAGTTTGTATACACCCTCGTAGAAATTTCATAAATTTTTTTATCAATCACTAAAGTTACATTAACTTCTGTCTAGTAACTGATATAAATCTCTTTGAATCTTCAACCAAGATGTAACGTTTTGCCTGTGTACAAAAGATGCGCAAAATCTGACTTATTTACTGAACAAAAACGAGATAATGGACTTCAATTAATTAATCAGCAAGCCTGTTCATGAAATTGGCAGTTTAGCTCTAGTAATATTTTGTAAATGAAACTCTAGCAAGTTCTTGTCCATTTTCGACGGAGTATTGTTATAACTAATGAGAATAGTAATGACAGTAATTGAATGAGTGTCTAGGAAAACTGCATATATTCCTACCAAGGCACATATATGTATATGTATGTATATACATTCATAAATTCTGTATTTATGTATGTTTATGTATGTATATTTACTACATTTGATAATTTGTCATTTAAACAGTAGATAATATATCTAAAACAAACAGCTCCAATTCTAATAAGATCTTTTAAGCTTACAATAATAAATTATTTCAATGAGTAAATATTTCTTTTCTTTTTAATTTTAGTACGTTTCTCTAATATTTATGATATAAATTTATTTTTGTTTGTCGAATAAGTGCACCTATAAAATCTCTGCATTAACGCGCGACTAAATCTCATTGAGAATTCTCGTTCTGATAGTAAGAAAGAGGACAGTTGGAGGAAAGGGGGAACAGAGAGAGAGAGAGAGAGAGAGAGAGAGAGAGAGAGAGAGAGATCGACGATGTTACAAGGAGGCACTTTTGATCGAGTATCCTCTCGAAAGCACTCCGTAGAGTCGTTGAAAGCTTCTACCAGCTCGTGTTGTGGATGTTGCAGGCACACCCGGTACATTACACACATACAGACAGACGCACATATCTATATATATAGGAACAATATATACTATTTCACAATGCATTGAATGCAACAGGATCTACTTCAGAGATCATACGCTCGGAAGAGTGCATCCGACTCCCTGTGAGAGAACCTGGAAAAGAATGGGAACGACGGATAGAAATACAGCCTCGAGAGAAGAAGGAGATTTGGACAAGTTCATATTTATTACTTAACTTATTTCCTTCTCGAGCTTTGATATACGATGTTCATTAATGACATTCGACGCGAAAGATATATATATATTTTTTAATTACGTTAGTAATCTGTAATTTTTTCTTTTTTTCGGTTTTATAATAATATGTTTAAGGTTTTGACGGGGAAATTTGAATTGTTCTATAGATTTATTGATTTGTCTTGTGTGATAATAACACATGATATTATATATGTATACATAGTCTGCCCCAAAAGTAATGAAACTAAGTCTGGAAAAACCATTTTATTGAAAATATACGCTTAATATTTTTCAAAGTAAAATTCTTGAGCGTCAATACACCAGCGTTCTAGCGTTACTAACACTCTTCGTAGCAGCGCAAGAAGTTTTGACCGGACATGCCTTCCAGAACACTCATCGCGGTTGCTTAGACCTTTTTAATCCCAAAACAGTGTCGGACATTTTTGAGACGATTAAAGGATCCAAGCAGCCGCGACGAGTGTTCTGGAAGGCATGTCCGGTCAAGATTTTTTGCGCTGTTACGAAGAGCAGCAACTGCGCTGGAACCGTTTTTATTGATACTCAAGGATTCTAATTTGAAAAATATATTAAGCGTATTTTCAATAAAACCATTTTTCCAGATTTAATCTCATTACTTTTGAGACCATATATTATATGTAATACCATGTGTTATCATGGTACACAAGTATTAGTGTTATAATTATAATATAACTTAGGTATTATAATAATAATACTTTTATGATTGATGTTTAATTCAATTGCTTAATTTTTTATATTATATGTACATTAATCAAACTCAGCATTGTAAAAACTGATATTATAATTTGAATACGTTCTCATTTGCAATTAATTGTTTGTTAGAGGAAATGGAAAAAAAAGGATCGCCTATGTCTCTATCTTGCGAGCGTAATTTCCGATTTTATTTCAATTTTATTCACTGATGCATGCATTGTAAAATTTAAACGTAAAGCTTTTGTCACGTAATACATTGTTCAACGGTCGTTTGTCATACCACAACGATGTTGACTGCACGAGCATTGTTAGCGAATGAATATCTGTGTGCTTTAGCCAGATCGTTAGACGTTTTCGTTCAAGATTTAAAAGATACCTCGAATCGGTGAAATAACGATCGTGTCCTCGTTCGATGTCACAGCTCGTCTTACATCGCTCTCAAATTCCAGCGTCGCGATATTACGACTACCAAGGATACAGTACTTTTAAATTTTATGAATTTTTCTCGCACATCCATGCCGCATTAAATGGGCGTTTTCGAAACTGAAATATCACCATCTAATCACCTATCACTCAACCGCGAAATAAACTTTTACGCACTTTTATGTACTTTATCTTACATTAAACGTGATAAAAATTGTTAATAATCGTAATTTATTATTGTATAATATGGATCATTAACATTGGCCACAACAAATTAATGGTGACTGCGCTGCAATAAGCTATTATTAGTCATACATTATGTTAAAAGTTGATATGATTAATTAATTATGGTCGCCACGTACATTGATGTTTTTATTATGTATTTGCATCTAATATGTCAAATAAGAAATTTCTCCTTGGTAGAAAATATGTTTCCCTTCGTTATTTACAAAATATGGGGCTTTTATTGTTATTCGCAAATAAATCAACGCTCGTTCTCTCTCTCTCTCGTTAAACGTTAATTATTTACGACGACTAATTGGATAAGTACGATGAAGCGTAGTTCGCCTTATATTCTTCGTTCTGATCTGCTTTTCACGAGAATGCGTAATAATTATGGATCCGAGCATGCTGTATTCCCGTTGTTAATTCTCTCTTTTAATTTATCGAAGAACTTTAAATGAACTCTGGTGCACGTTGAACAACTTGGGACGCCCATTAGCCAAGTAATGTAGATTTATACAGAAAGAAAGATAAAAAAAGAAAGATAGATATCTGTCCTATTATGAAACATTTCATTATGTTTACAATATAAATGTTATAATATTAAAAAAATTTGTATTTACAGTATAAATGTAATATTGAAAAAATTCACATTGATACAAAACCGCAATTGTTTGTAGAGTTAGAATGAAAAGAAATGTGATAGATAAATATATGTAAGCGCTAAATTGTAAGAGAAAACCGCGAACAAAAGATACTGTCTGATTCAAAGAAAAAAAAACGAGATGAGGAGTAAAATATTGTTTTCGTGTCATGTTTTATTATTCAGGAGAATAATACCTCGTTCTTTCTTCTTTCTATTCGCAGCTGACAGCAGTTTTCTACTAGCAAATGCTCAGATCGTCGACTTCCCGATCGTCTATTGCAACGAGAGCTTCGTCAAGATCTCCGGCTACAATCGTGCCGAGGTACGTTATTTTATTTGATATTGATATTTGCGCTTTCTACAATCTTTTCGTCGATATATCACTTCTATAGCACTTGCGTATAATTTGTATTTACGTGACACGATCGTATATACATATAATGCATGAAATGTATTTTACATATCAAATTTACGTATTGTGTGGTAATGTTAATTAATTAATTAGTTTATTACATATTTTGCCAAGCATCAAATTTATTTAACTTGTCATATATTCATTTAATTTATTAGATACAATGGACCGCCAATTATCTGGACATGGATTGTCTGAATATTGATTTCTTGCAATAATTTCTACATTTAAGTAGAAATATCATATAATAATTTACATATTGCAATTATATTGTCAAGAAAGTCATTTTTTAATTATACCGATTTGTTTTAATAATATATACATTTTCGAAAACTTTACGCGGATAATCGATAATAAGTGTGTTACTATTTTTTAACTTGATTTAATTTTATTATATTTGGAACAAATTATTATTAATATGTATGTTTTTATGCTGTGTGTGTGTTCGCTTTTTCTCTTATTGTTCCTTAAACTACAATTGAAATCATCAGACATTGATATTAATTGTTGCACATTTATGTTGTATCTTTTTGATCTTTTCCTTTGTAAAAATTTGATAAATGTTTACAACATTGTCTATATATTTCAGAATATCCCTCGATATTCACTTGGCGATACCGTAGACAGTGTAGACTATGAGCAATGGCTCGTTTATCCTTTGTCGTCTTTCATCCTTTAGGACGAAAGTGGTGCAAGTGGCGAGCGGATAACGGGATTTAGTGACTAGCGCGTTGATTCATCGACATCGATTTATTATAGTCGTGCAAGGTGAATAAGAGATGGAAGGGCATGTTCGAGAAGTCGAGCGATGGTATCACGTTGGCCAACCTCAACATCGAACTCTCTAATCACTTAGCCAATCAACTCAACAATCTATCCTCTGAATTTAATAATTTTTTGTCTATTTTAAAATATATTATCGAATATTTATTCTTGTTGTTGTTGTAGATAATCTCAAAATTTACACGAAACGTAATAATAATTGGTAAACGGCTAAAATTAAATTATGAATTGTATTATAAACATCAAATGTACATCAATAGAACATCATTATTATTTATTCATAATATTCTAATCCTTCTTTATTTACTGATTATCTTCTTTAGTTTACATCTATATTTGATTGCGATTATTACATATTATTATAATATTTGCAGTTTTAAAGGATTTGCTTGAATATATTTATATCGATATGTATAATAAAGATCGAAAAAAGAAATAATTTTTTAAATGAAAAACAATTATAAATCATAATTTCAGAGGATAAACAGAAAATGCGAGAAATTTCGTTAAATTATAGAAATCGTAAACTAATGATATAAGAAACTCGCAAAAATAACTTCTCACACTTACGTTGAACGTCTTGAATTGTTTGATTCGAATGTGACTCGGCTTTAACTGCGCTTTAGCTCGAAGTGACGACGCGAACATAGTAGCGGAAGTAGTAACCACCTTGTTTCTGTAGACTCCTAGTGTTCCAATCCTATTGTTTGAGGAGATACATGGATTTGGGGTTTGCAAACTCCATTACTAGAAACCGGATTGAGGCTTTCATGAAAGGTTTACAAGCTGAAGAACGAAAGTGAGAACGACGAAGAGTATATACACCGCGCATTCTTAATTTTATTCGAATATCTTGCAGTATGAATATACATACATCGTATTCTTATTTTACATAAAAGATTAAAACAGACATTTAAATGCAAAAATATTTATTAGTTGAATTGGACGGTTATAAGCTCCTTTTGTAATGATTGTCAGTTCTTTTTAAGAAATAATTCTATTTGGCAGCTTGACTTGAAATAAAAATCCGCTGTATTTGTGACCTTTTGCTTGTTAGCTATGGCTCAATTCTGCCTACGTAGCCACGCAATATTATTAAGGAAAATTACGTCTTTAATCCGATTACCTTCAGCAGCCTCAAAGACGTAATCTGGTTAATATATAATCATGCAGTCGTAGAATTCTTTTCTTCATTTAGAAAATTTCCATGTTTTCTTTAAAAATCATGATTCTGCGTTCACGTCGGTCAACAATATATTACGTTCATTTACATGACATTATTTTCCTATTTTTATTCGTCTATTTAAAAGAGTATATCTTTTTTTGTTGTATGGAAAGCATAAAAAAGTGCAACTGACACAATAGACCCGTTACAGTCTACAGGAAATATACGCTATTTCATGCCGTTTTATCGCACATCTGCATGCTACGAACGTTGAAGCAGCAGATACGAGCAAAATATATTTCGATAGCGTTTAAAAGAAATCTTTTTAATATCAGCGTATTGATAAAATTGATGGCGCGTGAATAAATCTCTCACAAATTTCTTTTTTTTTTCTCTATTAAAAATTTTTTTACGCTTTTACGTATTAATTAAGCAGAAATTGTACATTGTTTCTTTAAATGTCTTTTTGCAAGATTGCATGTCCAATTAAAAAATTGTGCACGACGAGTGATGAATTTGATTGGGATCAAAGTTATTTCGTTTCTGTTGCATCTGCGAACCACAAGATTTAAAGGTCAGCACCACGGGATTAATAAATCTGTTTCGAGGTCGAAAAACACGATATCACCTATGCTCGATATCCTGCACGAATGGCATAAGCCGTTTCTCGCTTTCGTCGACATTTGATAACATATCGGGTCAACCTCTATCGACATTATCGATCCATGAGATCGCTATTTAAAGAAACGCTTTATTCACAATAGCTTCTGTTTACAACGTTTAATGTACAATCGAAAGTACTGCATTATGCATTATATGATTTTCATAATATACATAAGTATATAATGTATATGTTATATGTTTTCGTAACATACATATATAAGTTTAAATACAATGACAATGATTTGGAAGATATTAGCTACTTGTGAAAATAATTGATGCGCAAAATTTCCAGTTTGCAACCGTGTTTTGTAATTGTATTTTTAACTGCTTATTTTTACAACGTTTTTTTACAACGTTTGTAAAATCAGCGAACGACCGATAATATGAAATTCAGAAATAAATATACTCTATTTCTGCAAATTCTTAGAAGTTTGCGTATTATTGAATTATAACTTACGATATATCAAAACAACCTCTCGAAGTACTATTAATAGGCAAATTGTTAATTATAAATGGTTAATCAATTTTTTTTTATCATCTAAAACCATGCCGCACATTTATCATCTATTCTGTGTATTTTATAATTACTGCTCTATATTAATAACTTATGTTATACACACATATATGTATATATTTACAATTTTTTTATAAATGAACTATAACAAATACTTCATACGTCTTCTCTGTATTTCCAGGTTATGCAAAAATCATGTCGTTGTGGATTCATGTACGGGGAGCTAACGGACAAGGAAACTATTGCCAGAATCGAGGAATGCCTCGAGGGTCAGATTCACGATCAATTCGAAATCCTGCTGTACAAGAAGACCAGTGAGTCCTTTCACCTTAATAAATCTCCGCATGAAAGCTTAAATGTGATGTTCGTGGCTTTTTATGAATATCGATGGTTTTTCAATGTAGCATTCTCGGTTAGTATTTAATATAGGGATATTAACATAGGGACCATTTGAAAGGATGAAATTGTTTGTTCTCCATTTATTTGAACTGGACAAATTATTGTCACATTATTACAAGAAGATGCAATTTTCTTGGGTTTCGGCAAAATTCGCATTTCGCAGCGAAAACCCGTCGGTGGCGAGTATGTTTTTCTTCATGCGTTTATCACACTGGGTAATTGGATAGCCGTGAAAAAAAGGTAGTTGGGGAGAGGGAGAAAAACTACCCGCGGAATCTCGGCCGGGGGAGTTATTGCGCGAAATTTGCATGCGCGTGTTTATCAGGCCGGCATCTAGTTTCCTATTGCGCCACCGTGCACTTTATGCATTGTGCACGGTGCGGAAACGTTAGAGGTACCCGGCAATCAGCCGAGTCTATGTATTTAATGGAAAACAAAACGTCGCCGCTTAGCGTAAGGGAACCGACGTTTTGCCAACGTAACAATGCCATTGCGTTAATTGGGATGTGTAACAATACATTGCTGGAAACGCGCAATTTATGACTTTTTCATGTAGCTATACATAAGCATGTGAAAAAAGTTTACGCTATTTTCTCTTAAAATATAAAAAAATACAAGTTTGAATTTCTTTTAAATTATAGACAAATACAAAATCATTATCAATTTAATAAGTGTTTATTCTATAAATATTTGACACTTGTCTCATTGTTATTAAAACGAATTAATGAAAATGTTACGTGTGCAATGTATAAATGAAATATAATAGGATAGATAATATTTCTCGAAAATTAAATCATGATTGATCATGATAATTTATGCGCTGTTTCTCGTTTTCTCCCTCTCTCTCTCTCTCTCTCTCTCTCTCTCTCTATCTCTCTCTCCTATCATTATATGAGATATTAGATCATTATTTGCACTTTAAAAATCATAAGTAATCATTGGGAATATATTGCACAAAGAAACATTTTCTTTGTAAAAATTTTTGCTTATAAATTATTAAGCGTAAATTTATAAAACACATTATGGAAGCATACGTGTTACAGTTGCAACAACAATTGCTAACAGCGAAACCGTCGATTCCCGTTTTGCTAAAACGCCTCGAGGCACGAGATGTATCAATGTGCATGCACAATATTTGGAATATCGAAACGTAACTATCTGCATACATCATCGATAAGTTTCGCGTTTCGTTTTGGTCGTTCTGCCATCATGTTGCATTACCTGGCTCCAATATTCACGTGTTATATCTCGCGTTTTGAAAATAAAACTTTCGACGAATATTTGATTATTTTCTCGATAAAGGGAAACGCCTTCTTTTAATGCACGTACTAAGCATAATAACGAAAGATCGTTCTGTTTAAAGGTAGCCCAAGAGGTATGTCTAGCACAGATTCGCAAAAGCGTGCTCGCAAATGCCAGTAAGTCACCCATGAATCTACGCAAAAGACACCATATATACGACAAATATATTTATTACATCGATAAACTTAAATTAACATTGAAATTTAAATTAATTAAATTTGACTCTAAATCTCTAATTCTGGCGACTTCTTAAAAAGACAAATTAAATTATTGTTATATTCAACTCTTCATTAGCATTAATAAGAAAGACAAGATGTTTGACATTTAGTAAAAATATTGTTATTTTCGCCACATCGTCTTAGACTTTTTCCGAAATTTTCTTTTAGAATGTCCACATTATAGAAGATAGCCACATTCCCTTCGTAATCGGAGCTAGAACGGAAAGATTGTTGCCTCGCAATAGCACCATTTGCCGATAGTTGAAAAAATAGATCACGAACATTATTTTTGCACCGCTCGTTTGGTGAATCTAAGTACCTTTTTGTCGGAAAACCACGGTCAATAGTCCTTATCGTCGGAAGGGACGCGGAGATAAATGCGATGACGCTCATTTTTCTCTTCGAGAAAAGAGAGAAAGAGAGTCACTCTCTCTCTTTCGAGAATTATCAACTTACGAGGTTGATTAACTCATAGGGATAAGTGCTAAAGATTGTAAAAGACAAATTAATTATACGCCATATTACGGAAAAACGAAGATTCTTTTCTTAGAGGAATTTTATTTTAAAGTAGAAACTAGAGTAAATAAAAGCCAATAAAACGAGAACCAAAGATATTGCAATATAATTATATATAATTTTATTCAGTGAGTTGCCAAAAAGACGTTGACCGAAGAGGATCTCGTACATTTATTTGTATATTTGATCTATTCGAATTGTGATTAGTGTATATCTTTGTATATTGAAAATTTTTTATTTAAAAATCAAATTTGATTTATTATCGTAATCTATTATTGACATATCATCGAACAAAATCTTATTCGTAACTTCTTTATTACTTTTTTCTTAGCTAGATTATACGAATTTAAACTTTACAGTCATACAAATTCAAAATTTAATTCAAATACACGTATTAAACTCATTAATAAAACCGAAACATTTCGATCAATTCTACGAATCGGCTATCTTTCTTTCTCATTAACTAGTACTTCATTTTATACGTCCTGATATTCCATACGTATTCTATGACACTGTTTTCATTTGTTTTCAGTAATGCATAGGACGCTCTGTAATAGCTAACGCATGTTGCCGTATAATTACGTCATTTATATTCAAGCGTATGATTGGCATCCGCGTGAGGTTTAATATCAGAGTAATTAATTTTGAGATATTCTGCAAATATCTAAATGTGTTATCTCATATTTTACAGTTGATATTTAAAATACTCTTAATAGAGTTTCATCGTGAATTCCCGTATTTTAAATATGTATTCTTTAATATTATAGCGATTGTTATAGATTTACCATATTAAAAATTATTTTAGTGCAGAGTTTTGTCTGTCACAATTATCTCAATTAATTATTTATCAAATTCTTTTTATTTCATTTTCATTTCGAATTAGTTTGAAGCCATAGTTGCATGCTCAGCGATGACTTATACTTTTTATTACTCCTCGGAAACATGATTGACGATATCTCCATTGTCGATGTATGTGCGTTGTCGATACAGCTTCTCATATGTAACTCGACAGGCTTACAAGGTTGCTTAATTAAGCCAGTTGTCGGTAAATATCCACATAGGGATAGATACAAAATATTATCAGCATTTATATTATTATCTGTATTCCCTCGGACCTAAAATTTCATCATGAATTCCCGTAAGTTTTTCGTTAAGTCGTGATAAAAAAAACGAACAAAGTATTATTAGAATGGAATTTTTTAAGACTGAAGAATGTGCGTAAGAATGTGTTTTTTTTCAAGGAATTAAAATATATTTAAAATGCCAGGAAATTAATTTTTCTATTCACTCGCATTTTTATTTTTTGACATTGCAAACGTATTTTAATACACGTCACAACGATATATTTTTATTATTATATACCTGTCTTTATTATTCAATACATATAAGTATTACTCTTTTCTTCCATTATTTTAATTGAATTTTACTCATTACTATCGTTTATTCGCATGCTCGCATGCTTTACGCTACTAAATACGATAATCATAAGCGAATCCCTAATTAGATTCCATTGGTCTAAACTCGCATACAGCTTCGATTCTGCATGTCGAATATGCAACATTGTGGACAAATGTGACTAGTATTACAATAATTTAATGCAATATTGTTACTTGATTTGATCAAAATATCATCATGTTACAATAATGAAGCGTACGTTAACTTAATTAGAAATTTAATATTAGAAAGTACATATATTATGCCTAAATTAATTTAATTAAAGTAACGCAATACTTACTGTATGGACAAATGCTTTGAACTGTTATATTTATGATATTTGAGGTTTTTCTCGCATCGACGAAAATTTTTCTTGTTTTCTTGTTTTCTTGTAATACAAATAAAATATTTAATTTTGGCATTTCTTTAAATAAAATATTTTATTTTGACATTTCTTTTGTTACTTGTTGTTAACCGCCTATTGATTTTATTATCAATTCTTATTTTTAAAAATTTGTTGAATTTATGAAATATATTGTAGTATGGTTAATTTTCATGTTTTATTTCTTCTTCTTTTGCATTTTATCACTGTATATAGCACAACATTTCATTGGAGTCTATCTTCTAATACACGTAGCGTAGATTCTTCTAGATTTCGGCAGCTGAATTGACGACCAGCTGACTCGCTGATTCAATATAGTCTCTGCTAGAGAAATAAAATTCGTAATCTTCCTGCAACTTAATAATGCTTGAAAAAAATACACAATTTAAATAGTAGATTATTTTTTCCTTTCTTCATACGTTGATGATGTCCTTTTTTTACACTCTATAGAGACACCATTATGGCTGCTATTACAAATAGCGCCCATCAAAAACGAACGAGACCTCGTGGTCTTGTTCCTGTTGACGTTTCGAGACATCACCGCCCTCAAGCAACCCATCGAAACGGACGACAGCAAAGGTGGTCTCTCCAAGTTCGCGAAGCTTGCCAGATCAGTCACCAGATCGAGATCGGTTCTAGTTTCTCAGTTCAGCTCCCATGTGCCGGCCTTGAAAGACACAGCTGTACCGACCACCACCAAACAATCACATCTAGGTCATGTAAGTCGTTGTGATGCTTCATATATCAATCTTATCAAAATTAAAAATCTTTGTTTTTTTACGAGCATATTTTGTATTACTAGTACAGGTAACACGGCAATTTTAAGATAGGAGACACTTTTATATTATATCGTTTTATTAATCTATACAGCACATATCTCCAGAGACGTCCTAAATACGTCCAGAGGATGGCCTTCGCTATCCTAAGGGCGTTCCCAGGATAAAGTGTGCTATTTCTTGTATTGAATATTCAGACAATACATATATATATTTTTTAAATACGTATCTCGATATCCCTTTTTTACAATGACTGAAAGTACATAAATTATTGAAACAGTCTTAAAACAGTCAGTATAATGGATAATGGTAGCTGTAGTAGTCAACTTATACAAAGTCCCATTTATAAATCGATGAAATAAAAAGTATACTTTCAATACGACGACTTTGTCAGAAAATGGAAAGCTGCAGAAAACACAATCTGCATGAATTTTTCTTTAAAATCAACCTAGAAAGCTTACATTCGAAAGCTTTGGAGTGTGAAAAGCTAATGGAGCCAGACTCGAGAGAAAGAGATATCAGATAGAGGAGATATACGATGGATAAGAAATCGATATGTACGCGATAAAATTAATTCGTTCTTTTTGATAATAATTTATTTATAACATCTAATATAAACAAAATTTATGAAGAAATATAAAATATTATTAGGTTAATTATTATTAAATTAAGAAAATAAATATGTTTAAAGACTTGACACAGTGCGCGTCAATACATGTAAATGAGTTATTTTTACGATATGGTAATAATTATTCTTCCCGGGAAAAATTCGCTTCTTGATATATATGTAACATATTTCGAATTACGTTCTTCTTTCAGATGATGTCCTTAAGTGGCGATGTTATGCCACAATACAGACAAGAAGCGCCGAAAACACCGCCACACATTCTTTTACATTATTGTGCATTTAAGGCAATTTGGGACTGGATCATTTTGTGTTTGACCTTTTATACAGCCATCATGGTGCCGTATAACGTCGCGTTTAAGAATAAGACAAGCGAGGATGTTTCCTTGTTAGTTGTAGACAGTATCGTCGATGTAATATTCTTCATCGACATTGTGCTAAATTTTCACACAACATTTGTTGGCGCGGGTGGAGAAGTAGTATCTGATCCGAAGGTAACTTTATCAAAACTTTTTTTCTAAGCAATTTATAATTATCTATAAAAAATAAATATTTGTACTTTATACTTGTATTTAAAATTGTTAAAAATGCTATAAATATAATTTACTCACACATAACAGTATAGTGCAATAAATTTAATAGTGATTTGCTTTCATATTAAAAATAAGTACATAATAGCTATTTTTTCATAGCGTAACCTTGATACTTTCAGGTAATCAGAATGAACTATTTGAAATCTTGGTTCATCATAGATCTACTAAGCTGTTTGCCGTACGATGTATTTAATGCCTTCGATCACGATGAGGATGGGATAGGTAGTCTGTTCTCGGCTCTGAAGGTGGTACGGCTGTTGCGACTCGGTAGAGTCGTACGCAAGTTAGATCGTTATCTGGAGTACGGTGCCGCGATGCTCATTCTTCTGCTCTGTTTCTACATGTTGGTTGCTCACTGGCTGGCCTGTATCTGGTACGTCATATTAAGGTGATTTTACCCTGTGTACACACACCTCTCTGACTAGGATAGATATGTCACGTATATAATATAATTATTACCGCACAACTTAATATTACACATTATATCACATATGAGAAACGAGGATCACCATGATCTTTGTTGTGTTACAATATGTTTTCATTTTTTGCAAATTAAATATCTTTATCGTTAAATACTGTTTCATTATATCTTAAAAATTAATTGTTGATCTATTTCACTAACCAGCATCACATCGATGCTGCGAAAAAAAAAAAGTTTGATCGAATATATAAACGTAAATACGCTATATTTTTATTTACTTTTATTTAAAATAAATTGATTATTATATAAGAGAGGGTGAATGTACAATAGAAGCAATACACAAAGTACAACGATATCTAGCAAATTTAAATAGAAGGAATAGCCTCTAAGGAATAAATCAAATATAGTGAAGTAATTGCCTGTGAGAGCCGACACGGGTGTGTGAAATTATTATTGTTACAATATCCAACCACACACGATCTGCGTGCGATGTGTGTGAAATAAGAATTTCACACAGCAAACACCCGTGTCGGCTCTCATAGTCAATTATACTTCACTATATTTGATCTCCAGTAAATTTTAATAAAGTTAATCGAGAATTTTGGAGGCATTTGAGTGTATGAGCAGAAAAAGTTAAATTCAACTCTGCGCGATCGTAAAAGAAATAGCATGGTGCCTCACATATCAATGTGCATTTTTCGATACCGTATCTTCTATCCGATGAATTCGATATAGTCTTATAAGAAATCTCCTCGCGCATTAAAGGTATTCGATAGGGAGGTCAGATGCCGACAGTGGGTTGCAATATTCATGGTTGTGGAAGTTGGCTAATGTCACTCAGTCACCGTACAGCTACTTGTGGACCAATGCCAGCACCGCACCCGAACTAGTAGCTGGCCCGTCGCGCCGTACAATGTATGTCACTGCTCTTTACTTCACAATGACTTGCATGACCTCCGTGGGCTTTGGAAACGTTGCAGCCGAAACCGACAACGAGAAGATTTTTACCATCTGTATGATGATTATCGCTGGTACGGATATATCAATATTATTTTAATTTAATTAAATATCCGTAAATCGGTCGATACATATCGAAAGAATTAATATTTTGATTGCGTCCGCTGGAACGAAGAAATACTTGCAAATATTTTGCGTAAAATAAAATTATTAACTATTTTTTTCTTTCTGTTTCTCTCTCTTTCTCTCCCTTCCTCAACCAGCCTTATTGTACGCCACGATCTTCGGTCATGTCACCACAATCATCCAACAAATGACGTCCGCTACCGCCAAGTATCACGATATGTTGAACAACGTAAGAGAATTTATGAAGCTCCACGAAGTGCCGAAAGCTCTTAGCGAGCGCGTCATGGATTACGTTGTCAGCACGTGGGCGATGACCAAGGGCTTGGATACGGACAAAGTTCTCAACTACTGCCCCAAAGATATGAAGGCCGACATTTGCGTACATCTTAACCGGAAAGTCTTTAATGAACATCCCGCCTTCAGGTAAATTATTATCTATCATATATCGAGGCTTTGTATTTTTAAATTTAATGTTATTTAATTTAAAAATTAAATAACATTAAAGTATAAATAAAATGTAATATGTAATTAAATCACATATTTATTATTCAGATTAGCGTCCGACGGGTGTCTGCGTGCCTTGGCGATGCATTTCACGATGTCGCACAGCGCACCTGGTGATTTGCTGTATCACACAGGAGAATCCATCGATTCTCTGTGCTTCATCGTGACCGGCAGCCTCGAGGTCATACAGGATGATGAAGTGGTGGCAATACTGGGGAAAGGCGACGTTTTCGGCGACAGCTTTTGGACGAATCCAACGATCGGCCAGAGTGCAGCGAATGTTAGGGCGCTTACTTATTGCGATTTGCACACAATCAAGCGAGATCGGCTCTTGGAAGTGTTGGACTTTTATCAAGCCTTCGCAAACTCCTTTGCCAGGAACCTGATTTTAACTTACAACTTGAGTCATCGGGTGAGTCTCTCTCAAATGAAAAAAGAAAAAAAAATTGATCGATTTTTTTTTTCCGAAAACTGTAAATGTGTTTATTGCAAATTGATGGAAAGAACGTCAACTCAAATATGACAAAATATAGGATTTTGATTGTTTATTGAACTTTTAATAGTTGTTACAATAGTGCGATGGTTTCCTTTGACTTTATAATTGGCAAACGATCAGAATGTTTGCATATTCCTTTGCACAACAATTATACAGTCTTAGTTAACAAAAGCAATTTGTATGGCACACGGTTATTCGTTTATGAGTAATCAACATATGCAGAGAACAATAAATTAACAATTATAACGACTCGTCAGGCACTAGACAATAGGCATTCAGGCCACGCAACAATCGGCATTCTTTAATATCATAGCACTGAATTCATAGATACACGTATACACGTAGACATAATAAAATTGCACGATAAATATGATTGAATGATTGAAAAAAAAAAAAACAATCGCGAATTGAAATATGTCAGGCCGTTATAAAAGGGGACAAAAGTCCTAAATAATATATACTTAAATAATTATAAACAAATAGTCTCACACAAGTCTGTAAAAAGTGTATATGGAATTCATTCATACAAACAGACAAGCAGAACTTTTTCACTCAACTTCCATAACAATTTTCGTAATATAATTCGTTTCTGTCAATGTATATTTTAATTGTTTTTCTCGCGTTGCTGTCACGTGAATTCGTTTCAACTCTAAAGATACACACTCGTGTAAAATGGGAGGACTCTTTCATATTGTAAATATTACTATAAGTATAATTATGAGTTTTTTAATACGTTTCTCATACCCGCATATATTCCATTATAACTATAAGAATCGATAACAATATTTATATAGATTTTATTCTGTGTAAAATCAATTAATCAATCTTAAATATCTGCAAATATCTTCACAACTAGCATTCTTTCGCTTGTGCGCGCTCTCTCTCTCTCTCTCTCTCTCTCTCTCTCTCTCTCTCTCTTTCTCCTGCTCAAATTCTCATAAAAATCTCAATATTTATCACAATTACTCTTGATCCTCGCGAAGTCCCTCACTGTGTAACTTACGACCGGACAATTCTAACATGACCTTCGATGTCGGATCTTGATCCAACACAGACTTCATTTCGCGTATGTCCTCTTCCGCATCTGGTACTGGACCGACCCCCCATACCTCGCAATGTTTGATTTTAAAGTCTTCTTTACCGCTAAGCTGTACATAATTTTGAAAAGTCGTGCACGACAAGCTCGATTTGCCGGTGCCGTATTCGCAATCCAACCAAAGGCCAGGATAATTAAGCTGCCCCCCCATAAGCAGGCCATTAGGCATCGTTTGCTGATGGAGATTGAGATACTGATAATGATTGTTGTAATTCGTCGATGAGAATGTCAATATATCCGGCTCAAGTTTGAATAGGAATGACGTTTGGTTACCTATAAAATTCGGTCCTAGCTTCCAATTGTCCGAGGCGAAACCGCCAAACACGTGGTCGTCTGTATCTTGAAGTATGATAATCGTGGCACCTTGCATCACGATCCTTCCTAACATGGTCGAAAACGATTCGCCGTGCACCTGACTCGAAAATAGAAACCGCCATTCATCACGTAACTCGTGCGGCAGACTCAAATTTAGGAACAGAACATCTCCTAAGCCTAATATACTCGGAAAGTGCGGTATATTTTCCAAACCCTTGCACAAGGGCAGAAGATTTAGATCGTTTATTCGCGCTCCCGTATTCTTATCGCTACCCTTCTTTTGAGAGACTAGATAAAGGTACTGAAAAACGTGCGATTGAATATTCTTGAACGTGGCAGCTGTCATGAACCAATTTTCAACTTGATCAACGGTCAACACATCCCCATACTTTATCAGATCCTCGCAAAGGCTGCGAGAACGCATCCCTATGCGCCTGGTGTTGACGGTGCAGCCGATGCTACTCCAAGTGAGGTAATGCGCATTGCCAGAGTTCTTTTGTAGTCGCAAGTAAGAGTTAATCGTTGCTTGAAGATACTGAAGGAACGAAGCGGTGGGTATTTCGTATTTTTGCTCCTCCTCCGAGAAACCGTCAAAGATCAAATTGGTGCGTTCCTCGGGATTACCACGTACGGCAAAGACGTAGAGCCGACCAAAGTTCTCCCCGTTGATGGCCGAGACCTTCTTTCCCGGATCGTGACAGAGAAATCGAACCACAAATTGCAATAACGCATCGTCTAAATGTGTCGACCAATGTTTGAATATATCCTCGCGTTTGATGGAACCTGAGCTGCGGGACATAGACTTAAAGAGGTTCTCTACTAGTGTCAATTCCTCCGTGGAAAGGATATTTGACGAAGCAGAACGGCTTGATCCATGACCCATCTGAAAAACATTTGCGTTTCAATGTCAATTATTTCGCTCATTTTGAGAAAACAACTTTTACTAATCAAATTATTTTCTAAATGTATAATTTAATTCTACATGACTTTAGAGTGTGAAATTGTTAATAGCGTACAAGTACATAATTTTCTCGCAAGACGTAACAATAACTTTATGTCTGTCGAGCAGCTGAACATTAATGCACTGTCAAAGCGCACAATTAATACAACGTCATATTGCATAAAGGAAAAAGATAAATAAAAGTCATGGTTTTTTTTTTCTTCCGTACGTGTTTTAGAAATGGGGCACACTTGTACATTTTTGACCGCTGCTGACTTTGGAATTATAAAAAAGAACTATACGACCTATATGTTACGTTATTGATAAAGCAACATATATTTTATGCACCTTTCGTACGGGCGAGCAGCCTTTCTCGACAGTCCATATACCTCCTCGTCTTCCACCCGGTCGTCCTATGTATGTCGAAAGCGCAAGGACACCACCCTGCACCTTTTTCGCAGCGGGTGTCGGCCGGTGTCAGCGACGGCGGCGGCGGCGGCGGCGTGACGTTGCGTCTGACGTCTCGTCACGTTACGTCACGTCACGTCGTCGTGCGAACGACGGCGATCGTGCGATCGACTTGGACCTCGCCAAAGCGCTCACTAGAAGGCTTGAAGGTTATGTACAACGCGCGCGCGAGCGAGCGAGCGAGCGGCTCGCTGCTACGAGTGCGCACACTGCGCATCTTTTCCAACACCAGGACACCTATCGACTTAATCGACTACCATCATCGCGCCTGCGCCACTACCCTGCGCCGCCCGTCGTCGGTCGTCGTCGACGCGCGACGCGCGATGCATCGCCTATGCATTATTTGCGCATTTTCTCCGTTGATCGTCGTTCACGAGTAATGAAAATTGACGGTAAAACACTGAAACTTGTCGGAATACTTAGCCCCTCTCTCTCTTTTGATTACGCGAAAAGGTTGTGAAGCAGTGGCGAATCGCGAATCGTTTAGGGTAAAAATTCGTGAGATCTCGAAAACTGCAGGGAGAGAGAGAGAAAGGAAGGAAAATTCTCTTTTTCTGAGGGAGAATTTTTCTCTGAATTTTTCTACGAATAAACGCGAAACAAATTTGCAATTGCATGCAAATTCAATCAATAATAATAGCATTTGTAAAATTATTTCGAGTGTCTAGAGTCCCTGCTGCGCAGTATAAGTTGTTCAATAATTAGAAATCCAGTCGATCTGCCGCCTCTATATTTTTTATCACACGAGAGAGAGAGAGAGAGAGAGAGAGAGAGAGAGAGAGAGAACCTCGCATAGCGGAGAACAGGAACGAAAAATCGAAGATTATCGAGAGATAATTATCTCGCGCAAATGATTATCGCATAATGTGGCATGAAACGAAAGGGTCGTAAAAGGTATAGATAGATAGGCTGAGAGAGCTAGGGGAAGGGTGAGGAAGGACGTGAAACGCGGCCTCGCTCAAAGGGAATAGGCGCGTTGCGCGAGTTATGCAATTTTCAAGCGGTAGATGAGATGAGATGACCCAGCCTATGCACAGAGTGCATTCGAGATGACGCGCATCCATAATACGTCAAAGTCGAAACACAGCATCGGCTGTTTCCACGCAATCTTCGCACTGGCGCGAAAACGATTGGTTGTTAAGTATCGTTTAAATGAAGATTAATTCTTTCGTTTTCTTTTTATTAAAAAGAAATTGCTGAAAATTATGTCGAGTGTTGTAAATTTAGAGCACGCGGCTTGTACATATACTAATAGCATTGTGCAGTAATAATATATAGCAGTCAGCAAATAGGAAATTTATTTATTATAATTATTATATAGAACAGATTTAGATATACATATAACATATATATATATCTACATATATGTAGAATGTAATAAAATATAGTAATATATAAATTCTCCTTATATATTTTGTTTTTAATAAAAATTGTAATTGTTGAATATTTTTATTTTTGTGTATTTTTTTTATTTAATTGTTATTTAACAAAGATAATTTTTATTATACATATGTGTTAATAAAGTTAAAATTGTATGCATAGCTCATCTTTCGAAAAGTCGCCGATGTCCGTCGAGAAAAGGAGTTGGCCGAAAGAAGAAAAAATGAGCCACAATTGGATCAAGCTCAGGATCATCTGGTTCGCAAGATCTTCTCGAGGTAGGAAATCATTTTTGCTTAGAATTTATTATAGTTACCGAGTACGATCAAATGCATTCGAGTTCAACGTCAGTTACTCATCCTTGGAACAAATATAGAAATCATAAGAAATCCATTCTGAGAAATCGAGAAATGGAAATTGTATACGAAATAAAAGAACGTTCGATCATTTTTAAATCAATCATTATTTATTAAAATTAAAAAATTCAATTTTACGGAATGGATTTCTACTAAAAAACCTATAATTATTGCAAGCATTAGTTTGTAGTTGACGACTTCTGGTTGCCACTGATTAAATTGTTCGACACGTTTTAACAATCGTAAAAAAAACTTTATCGAAGCATGTGAGAGAGCGCAATTTTGCATTCAAAATTTTTTTTACGTATATGATGACTAGATATAAGTGAATGTAATTTCCCACGCGATATATAATAGATCATAATTCTGCATATTAATTCACAATATTCTCATGTATTGAACATGTGCACGCGTATAATGATACATGATTTTTTATGATGTAGCGCAATTGTTAATTTTGTCTCTATGCAGATTTTAATAATTCTATTCATTAATTAATCGTTATTTTCATATATATAAATAATATATGAAAATAATTTAAAAAAATTTAATTTGCAAGCGAAAATAAACTTATTAATAATTATTGATAATTATTATAAAGTAAAAATAAAGATTTAACAAGAAGATTGTAAAGACGCGTTTATTAAAACAAAACTTGGAAAGAGTTTATTATTGCGTCTTCAGTAGATTGTTTAATATTTTTATATCTTTATGCGCGTGTATATGCAACTAATCCTGCGTGACACGTGCGAGAGAAAAAGAGAGAGTGAGAGAGAGAGAGAGAGAGAAGAGAAAAATAAAAAGAAAGGAATGAGAGAGATAAAGAATGATGTACAGAGGACGTTATTGTGGATTTTTGTATCTTCCGTGGCTGTTGCTGAATGTGACTGTTGATCGTGTTGCTTGGCTGGCCTGTTCTTTCCGAAAAGGTTCAAGAGTGACGGGGAAAGCCAGTTCGGCGTGACCAGGACCGTGAGCGGATGGTCCCAGCAGGATTCCGACGAGGAGCTCACCGTGAACGTCCTGCCACCCTGGCCGAGTTTTAGGCAATTTCATTATTTTTCTTACGTATTTATTTCTTCTCTAATTCTTTTTTGCCGTTTTCCTCGCTACGTACACATCTTATTATGATTGTTATTATTATTATAATTATTGTTATCATTATATCGTTATCTTTTGTCATTGAATTTATATTTGTTACCATTATGATTGCCGTCGTTATGACCGTGGCAGTTTTATTACTACCCATTCGCGATGTATACTGTATATTACATTATGCATATTATAATATACCGGAATACCTGTTTCAATATTCGTGGTACATGTGTACATAAGTACTATTCATGAATATATATATTGTATACCACGGCAGCGCGCGTGATGCACGTGTCTCCGCGGGTTAATCCCACATTTGCATTCTGATGATTACGAGTTTCATCAATTAAATGCCTCGTTACTTTTGATCCCCATCTCTAACAAGTCAATGCCGTTTGTCAAAAAATATGATAATGGGAGAAAAATATAAATTAAAATAATTTTTTTATAATTTAAGTAGATATGGTTTAAAAAGAACTTTTGTATGATTTATGTTCACGAAATTTCTCTTTATAAACGATTTATACTTGAAATAATACCATTTCTTTGTAATTTTAATGATGATTGAGCAAATAAGGGATTAACTTGCATTATCTCTTAAAACAAAGATACATATACACGCAGAATGTTCTTGCATAACATTGACAAACTTAATTCAACTTCATCTTTAATCACAAGACGTATAGAGAACTGATTTTTTTCGTAAGTGAATAAAATAAATATTTGAATACATAAGATTATGATTTATAAACCATTTTAAAATAGACGACTTTTAAAAGAATCAAATTTTTATTTAATTTGCTTTGATAAAATTTTAATTTAATGCTAGCTGCACCCAGGAAATTTAATATAAAAATTTAAGGAAGCGTAAAGAAATTCAGATAGATCCTTGTCGAAATAATATCGATCTGAGATCGTATCTTTGATCGAACATATCTTTAGTCTGAAATTTGTCATTGCCATTCAAGAACACCCTGCATACATTCTCTGGTACTTCTCCCACATTCATTCGACGCGGTAAATACCGTATAAATACGTCCCGTAATGTGTCAGCCGGAAGGTATCACGTACGTGCACTTGCTATACACATGCTTGAATGTGAATAACAATAAATTTTCATTGCACGTCTACGTTGAAACACGAGCAAATCGAGAGTGGCAGTCGCCTGAGCCACCATGAACATTCCAAACTTCACATTTGTTCTCATTAAATGCACTTGCCATAGATGTGGTAAGTATAGACTGCGTATTTCTTGAAATTGTCACTATCAATTTAGAAAAAGTGAAGTAGCTTGACTCGTATCGCTCTCTCTCTCTCTCTCTCTCTCTCTCTCTCTCTCTCTCTCTCTCTCTCTCTCCACAATATTCTTATATTTACCTACAGAAGACATATGTACAAAAACTACAATTCGCTCTATATACAATTTCGTACTATAGGTAGAGTAAAGAATATCTACGTCGAAGTTTTTCGAAAGACGGACGCGACAATCTGGAGTTGCATTTTCCCACCTCCGTCTCGCATCGTCTAAGAGATTCTATTCACCGTCGGAAATAGAATGTGAATTGTTACACGTTCAGAATAAATAAGCTTAATCTAACTTTAAATACGAAAAACTTGTACCTTTCATTACATATTGTACTAACGATAAACGCGCGCTTATTTTACACTTCTCTTCGGAATATATACACAAATTAATTTGCTTTAAGAATTCCTTCGTATGTGATGTATAATTGTTAATTCTTCGCATTCGGTAATAATTTGGAATTAGTGCGTATCAATCAGCTCATAATACATCTTCTCACCTGATCCT